TGGAACCTCCCCACCTCTGATCTTTCTTTCTGGTTAGCTGGGTATAAATTGGGAGGGAGGTACCACAGAGGGCAGAGGCCTGGAAGGGAGGGGCCTTTGGGATTATAAATTCCCAAAAGGCCACTCTCAGAGCTGGATCTCTAAGAGTCTCTGTCAGCTTTTGGGGCTGTGACATTTTCGGCACCCTTGCCATGAAACACCTGCTGCTGCTCACCCTGTCTGCCCTGCTCTGTTGCTGGGTCTCAGGTGAGTGCAGAGGGCCCCGAGCCCCACCCCAACCCTACCTAATACTCCTTATTTCCCCGGATTCAGGATCCCAAGAAGCCCCAACCCTACCTAGCTTAGTCTCCCCAATGCCTCTAGGACTGCATGTCTGAGTGTGATGGCCCCTCTCTCGATTTCCTCTTCCTCTCTCTCCCCACTGTCTGTTTCCTTCCCTCCTTTACCTCCCTTCATTTCTTTGTTTTTATTTTTCTGGCAGAGTCTTGTGTTGTTAGATCCCAGTTAGCAGCAGGAACTCCATTTTGTCCTAGTCTGCCACTCTGCCCCTGAGATGTTACCAACAATTTCCTGAGGCTCAGCTGTAGCCCTCAGCCCTCTCAGCCCCCTCAGCCCCCTCAGCCCCCTCATACAGATGTCTAGAATGAGGCGACACCACAAACATCCCTCCCACTTCTGACTAGTTAGCCCAGAGCCAGCGGCCAGAACTCCCTAATAGGCTAAAAGTGTTCCACCAAGGGGGCTCCCAACTGCTTCTCCCCCTATTACATGATGACTGGGCGGGACTCGGGAGCTGTCTCTTTGTTGTTTTTCCCTTTAAAATCGACTGCTACTCCCACCTCAGGGTTGCAGTCTGGATCTCAAAACCTGGGGCTTCCCTGATATATCAGGGTGGTTTTTTTTTTTTTTTTGTCATTGTTGTTGTTTTAATTTTTGGCTTGCTTGAACCCTGTCTTTCTGGTGGATTATTCTTGGGCCCTAACAATGTAGCCAAAGCTGGCTTTGAACTCACGATCCTCCTAAATGTGGAGATTACACAAATGCCACACCTGGCTCTTTGATCCTTTATTAAGGACCCAGGTCTCCATTGCCATCTCCTCCTGGCCTCCATATTCTCCTGGCCCAGGCTTCTTATCTGCTGTGGCACTGGACCGCTTGTTTCTCACTCCACTGTGCCCCCTTCCCGGACACTCTCTGGCCAGCCCCGTCCCAACATGAAGGTTCTCCAGGATTTAGGGTACCTTCCTCCACTCACCTTCTGCTCTGAGCAGCGTCCACTCTGCTCCTCACTGAGGTGCTCAGCAATGGCCCTTCTCAGCCTGGTCCTTCCTGCCTGACATTGCTATATTCCCCGCCAGGGAGGCAAAGCCTCCTGGGTGGTTCCAGCGACTGCACACAACCTTCCCAGAGAATCAGAGACCCTCCCTGAGCCTTCTGGAGAAGACACCAGACAGAGCACTTACCCTAGAGGGAGATGGGTTTCCTGGAGGCACACTAGGCTCCTCCACCCCTACGGGAGCCGACCTTCCTTTCGTGCAGCTTTACATGCTCAAATCTGAACTTGGCCAGCACAGGAGTCCTGCGCATCACTTCATGCACCCACTCTCCATTTCTGGTTAGGTGATAAGACAATCCAGTGATAGGGCTCACGGGTGCTGTCCCTTCTGCCATAGAGCGAGAGCCAGATCAGTCATAGAGAGGACTCATTCAGTACTGAAATCTTCCCAAGCTCTTGGCAGAGGTCCAGGTCCAAGCAACTTCTAAAGCTGGCCACAGGTGGCTTTCTGACAGCCTCAATTCCATGCCATCTCTGAAGGCACTGCTGACTCCCACACTCTATAATCTCTTCTTTCTATCTCAAGTCTCACCCCCCCCCCCCCTCCCAACCTCTACTCTGTCACCAAGCTTTCCCCATATCCCAGCCATCCCCAGCCCTGAGTTTTTGTTAGTATAATTCTTGACTCATCCCAAACAGGCTGGGTGGAGGAAGGTATTTAGGGTGTGTGCTTTCCACTCAAAGAACAGACACCTCCACACAACGCCCACTTTGCCCTCACCTGCTCTATCCCTGTGAACAAGGCAGGTCAGAGACACTGGCTGCTTGGTGGGCAGTTCTCCACCCTCACCCCTAACTCAGCTGACTCAGACACCCCCTCACCTCAGCCTGACTTCCTGTCTCCCCAGCTGACACTAGATGTCACTCCTGCTACAAGGTCCCCGTGCTGGGGTGTGTGGATCGCCAGTCCTGTCGTCTGGAGCCAGGCCAAAGATGCCTGACCACAAACGTGTACCTTGGTAACATCTCCTTTCCTGGGAGGGAGGGGCTGGGCGGGAGAAACATCTGGGACTGAAGCCCATCCAAGGCAAGGACAGGGAGTTACAGGGGTGACAGCATGTGGCCAAAGATGATTATGTGCCAGGCGCTGACCTGTGTCTACAGACATTGTGTTTGTGAATGTTTGTGAGAACCCCTGGAAGGGGGCCTGGAACTAGAAGCAGGATTGTGGCTCACACTTCGGAGGGATGATTAGACTAAGAAGAGAGAAAAAGGGTGGAGCCAAGCAGCTTTGGGAAGGAAGAGGAGCCAGTGGACACAGGCAAGCCAGTGAGGACTCCTGACCCCTTCTCTGTTGGCTCCTGCCTCTAGGGAAGATGTGGGTTTTCTCTAACCTGCGCTGTGGCACACCAGAGGAGCCTTGTCGGGAGGCTTTCAACCAAACCAACCACAAGCTGGGCCTGAACTACAACACCACCTGCTGTGACAAGGACAACTGCAACAGCCCAGCGCCAAGGCCCACACCTGCGCTGGCTCTCCTCTCCCTCACCTCCTTGGCTGGCCTTGGCCTCTGGTTATTGCATTGAGAGTCGCTCCATGTCTGCACGCCTCCCACACGCTGTAGCCTGAGCCTTTCTCCCTCAGAACTCCAGCTCTCCAGCATGCTCTCCCTCACCCCTGGCCCCTTTTCTCAAGATCATTTCCCTATTGTCCCATTTGTTTCATGGGACAGTGCCTAGAGTGGTCTTTCTAGCCACCCCTCTCAGCTGGCACTCTCCACCCCATTTTTCACCAAGTCCTTTCCCATTTCCTTGGAGACCACTCTACCTCCTTCACTGGCCACTGGAAGGGCTCCCTACTTGGAAGTACACCGATGTGACCCTGAGATGTGGACCTGGAAGTACCACTGTCTTGTCTCCAGTGAGTGACCCCGAAAGGAGCCGCTAACCTCACTGCATGGGGTTGATTCGCTAAGCCCTCTGCTCATCTCTTTCCATCGTGAGAAATAAATGTAGGCGTCTGATAAACTGTTTATTGTCAGGGGATATGCATGCTAGTCTGGGCATCGTGGCTTTCCTTTGCGCTCTCAACAACTGGGCAGTGGAGGCAGACGAATCGGAAGTTCAAGGCCAACCTTGGTTACTTAGCAAGTTCAAGGCCACCATGAGCCACAAGCGATCCTGTCTCAAAAAGAAAGAAGCAGGCATGGCTCTGTACCCTTTAATCCCAGCACTTGAGAGACAAAGATAGATCTCTGAATTTGAGGCCAGTCTGGACTCTACATAGCAAGCCAGCCAGGACAACAAGGGTGAGAGAAAGAGGGGAGGGGGAGAGGGAGAGGGAGAGGGAGAGGGAAGGGGTTTTGGTGGCAGTGGTGTAGGGCACCTCTCCATGGAAAGTCTACTGCCAACCCCACCCTTCTCCTTACCTAAGTGTTCTGCAAGGCCGGGCTGACTAAATGGAAGAGCAGGTTTTTCAAGCCTTTCTCCCTTCCAACACCTGAGGGTGGCACACTGGCACTAGTGTTTGGAGAAACAACCCTTATCCTAAATTTAGACTACACCCTGCCAAGAAGCAGGTGCAGCCTAGCTTGAGGGCGCCCCAGAAAGGGTAGGAAAGGTGTTTACAGACAGAGAGCTGCTGGCTCTTGTTTCCGCCTCTCAGGTGGCTTTCTAACTGGGTTATTCAAGCAACTTTGCTTTCTCAGTTCAAAATAGTCCTATTAGGAGCCGAGTTCTGAAGTACAGAAGGAAAACAAACCCAGACAACCAGGCTCGTGGAGTCCTGGTAACCCTCCACTCAGCCCAGGGCCCTTCCATTCAGTGACCCCACTGTGAAGGGAGATCCTCCCTGGCAGCAGGTTCCAGGACAGATTCTGTACTGTTTGAAGGGTGCCATTGGGTAAGGATTGTTGACAGGTCCACTGAGGGAAGTTAACTGAAACACCAGTCGTCAGCTAACCCACACACTATCCTTCAGCCTTTCAACAGAAGACACATAGACACGGGGAGCAGTAGCACACCAGCACTCCGGAGGCAAAGGCAGGTGGATCTCTGTGAGTTCAAGGCCAGCCTGGTCTACAGAGTGAGTTCCAGGATAGCCAGGGCTACATAAAGAAACCTTGTCTCAAACAAACAAACAAACACGGATAGAATTTAATAGTCAGCTCTAGAATAGTCCATACATTTTAGAGGCACACAAAGGAATTCCTGCCTTCTCACCTTGGATGTTTGGGTTCCTCAGTCCCCTCCCTACCCTCAATCCACTGTGGGCTCTACAGTCCTGGTAAGAGCCAGGCCAGGGTGGTAACAGCTGCAGCCAGGATGCAGAGAGGGGTCAGGGAGCTCGCCACGGCACTGTTGCACAGGTCTCCGACGCAGCAGTTTTTGTGTGTTGTGACGGTCACGCCTCCTACCGACTCTATGTCCACTTGATTGCAGTGATGGGTGGCCACACAGGCTGGGTGGTGCTGGCTGAGGGTCATGGAGGCTGAGAGAAAGAACGACACTGCGGTGTTGAACTCCTGACTGCAGGACTTGCCTTCCACGGCAGAGCAGATGCAATTTCCAGGGACTTAAAGGGATACTCTGCCCTCTCAAAAAACACCTCTCTGAAACTCAGGCACTGGAGCCAATGGGCCCACCTAGGACAGGGATGCTATGGTGTTCCAAGAACCCAGGACCTTTCCTGCCTCAGCGTCAACAAGGGAAAACCAAAGCTAAATACAAGAGGGACAGTCTGTAAAATAACATATTGTGAAGTAAGTTAAACTGAAGTTAGGCTTAGTGGTGCATGCTTGTAACACAGCTACTCAGGAGGCTGAGGCAGGAGGATTGCTGGGAGTTCAAGGCCAGTCTCATCAACACAATTGAGTTAAAGATAACCCTGGGCTATAAATCAAGACCCTGTCCCAGTGAAACAGTAAATAGAGCTGGGAATGTAGCTCACTTAATAAAATGCTTGCTTAGGGTACCAAAGTCCTGGATTGAACTGCAGTAGCAAAATAAACAGGACACGGTGGCACATATTATGTGGAGAAAGGAGACTCATAAGTTCAAGGACAGGGGCTGGAGAGATGGCTGAGAGGTTAAGAGCACTGACTGCTCTTCCAGAGGTCCTGAATTCAAATCCCAGCAACCACATGGTGGCTCACAACCTGGTGCCCTCTTCTGGTGTGCAGGCAAATATGCAAGCAGAAGTCTGTGTATATGTAATAAAAATAAGTAAATATATATATATATATATATATATATATATATATATATAATATTGAGCTAGTGAGATACAGCTCAGTGGCTGAGAGTGCTAGCCGCTCTTCCAGAAGACGTGAGCTCTTTCATCAGGCTCACAACTGCCCTGTGAGTCCAGCTTCAGGGGATCTGATAAGTCTTCTGGCCTCTGAGAACACCCACACCCACCACCCACCACCTACCCCCTCACACACACACACACGTGGCATACACTCAGACACAAAAATAAATCTTTTAAAAATAATAAACTGGGCCTGGGGACATGGCTCAGTGGTTAAGAGCACTGGCTGCTCTTCCAAAGGACTTGGGTCAGCTCCCAGTACTAACTTGGTGGCTCACAATCACCTGTAATTCCAATTCCAGAGAATCTCACCCCTCTTCTGACCTCCAACGGCAGCAGGGACACCTGTGGCACCCCACCATACACGCAGAAAGATATTTACGCACATAAATTTTAAAATCTAAAAAAAAGTCATTTTAAGCAAGGCACGGTGGCTCACACCTGCCTTTAATCCCCGCACTCAGGAAGTAGAAGCAGGCAGATTTTTGTGAGCTCAGGTCGAGCCTGGTCTATGTAGTGAGTTCCAGGATAGCCAAGATTACTCAGTGAGATCCTGTTTCCAACCAACTAACCAACCAAAAATACAAACCAGACAAAATAATTACTTTAAAATAAATGAAGTCAACGGGGTATTCTGCTCTGAGCTCTGGTGACTGAATCTCTAAGTCTAGGTTAATTAGTATCCTGTGGTCATTTTCCAATCTTGGTAATGTTAGCTGCTGAAGAAGCTGGCTGGAAACAGGAACTCTGCATTTCTTTCCTATTTTTACTGTTAAACCAAATGATTTCAAAATAAGATATTAAACACACAAGCGCGCACACACACACACACACACAAATGCCCCTCTTCCGCTCTTAGCCAGCCCCCGACAATTACAGTTTGGAGTTTGGTTTAACACTTTGACTCTGGTCTTAGGAGACAGTTTCTTCCCTAGTAAGGGCCTATGAATTTGGAAGGGTGGTAGCCCTCAGGATTGAAGTGGGGGCTGGCTGGAAGCAGCGGGAAGTGGGGGACGACAAAGGACTCACGTTGCTTGGCTTGTCCTGCGTTGGGTTTGCGGTCCAGAAAGCCGCAGCGCTCACCCTCACCACAGGTGATCACCGTCTGTTTGCAGGAGCTGCTGGGGCCGCCACCGCAGTCATAGCACCGCGCGCGGTGTCCTGGCAGGAAAAGAAGAGGTTCGTGGTTCGGGACCGGCCCTTAGGGCAGCCCTGGCAGAGGAAAGGACAGGCCTGTGCCAGAGGCATGGGCTTCTTCCTTACCCAAGGCAGCGCCTACCAGGGCGCAGAGCAGGATCCCGGCCAACTGGGGGTTCATCACCTCTGCTTAT